CTGTCCCACATGACATCCTTGTCTCTAAAATGGAGAGACACGGATTTGACAGATGGACCACCCGGTGGATAAAGAACTGGCTGGATGGCTGCACTCCAAGAGTTGTTGTCAATGGTGCGACGTCTACATGGAGACCAGTGTCAAGCGGTGTCCCTCAGGGATCTGTTCTGGGTCCAGTGATCTTCAACATCTTTGTCAGCGACATGGATGACAGCATTGAGTGCACCCTCAGTAAGTTTGCCGATGACACCAAGTTGTGTGGTGCTGTGGACTCACTTGAGGGAAGAGATGCCATCCAGAGGAACCTTGATAGGCTTGAAAATGGGGCCAGTGCAAACTGCATGAGCTTCAACAAGTCAAAATGCAAGGTCCTTCACCTGGGTCGGGCCAATCCTAGGCACAAATACAAACTATGCACAGAGTGGATTGAGAGTAGCCCCAAAGAGAAGGATTTGGGGGTGTTTATAGATGAGAAGCTCAACATGAGCCGGCAGTGCGCTCATGTGGCCCAGAAGGCCAACCGCATCCTGGGATGTATCAAGAGAAGCATGGTCAGCAGGTCAAGAGAGGTGATTCTCCCTTTTTCCTCTGCTCTTTTGAGACCCCACCTCGAATACTGTGTCCAGTTCTGGTGTCCCCACCATAAGAGAGACATAGATCTGTTGGAGTGTGTTCAGAGGAGGGCTACAAAGATGATCCAGGGGCTGGAGCACCTCTGCTACGAGGACAGGTTGCGGGAACTGGGATTGTTCAGCCTTGAAAAGAGAAGACTTCGGGGGGACCTAATAGCTGCCTTCCAATACCTGAAGGGAACCTACAGGAAGGCTGGGGAGGGACTTTTTACAAGAGTGTCCACTGAAAGGACAAGGGGAAATGGGTTTAAGTTGAAGGAGAACAGATTTAGATTAGATCTTAGGAAGAAATTCTTCAGTACGAGAGTGGTAAGACTTTGGAATAAATTGCCCAGAGAAGTTGTGGATGCCCCCTCCCTGGGGGTGTTCAAGGCCAGGTTGGACGGAGCCTTGAGTAGCCTGGTCTAGTTGAGAGGCGTCCCTGCCCATGACAGGAAGGTTGGATTAGATGATCTCTGAGGTCCCTTCCAGTCTATGCCATTCTATGATTCTGTGATTCCCTCCTTCACTTCATATATTCCCAGCATTTTAACATTCCTCCAAGTTTTGTACTAAAAATGTTTTCTAGATGGAAAGCCTCAGTCTTACATGAACACAATTCAGATAGCCTACTTTAGTTCTTTAGTTCACCTGTTATATTCACAGTTCCAGAGTAAAACTGAAAATACCACAGTCAAGGAAATTTTCAGCAAGAAAATGGAATTTGCACGTCTATAAATGTCTTTTGAGTGTGTTCTTATAACTTATAATGGTAATGTTAATTGAGAATAGAGGTTCTTATATTATCTAAGTCTTCCTTTTCTGTTGACTTTTTTGATCTCCTTTCTATTCCCATTTTGTGGAGATAATTAACTAAGTTCCAAAAGCGAATTAAAATCATCAGGTGAACATGGACATATTAGGTAAAAAGAGAATGTGAGAAGTCTGGAGAGAACTTCTAAACCCCAGGCTTTTTTTGGTTGATGTGGTGGGGTATTGGCAGTGGAGGAAGGGATACAGGGATACAGATAGCCTCTATAAGAAGCCACAAGAAACTTCTTCAGCTCCAAGTTGAAGCTGCCTCTCACCAGGTCAGACCCATCTGTGTCCAGGACTGAGCCAATCAGTGCCTCTGTGAACAAATATATTTGAGAAGAGACAAAGAAATCTGAACCATGTGAGACCTGCAGCTAGGATGGGGGGAGGCAAGAGGCCTGGGCTCCAGCCTCCCATGCGGCCGGCTGCACGCACTGGGCCTCTGCCACTCGACTGGTGACTACCGTGGCAGTGTGGGTTGGATGGCTCCAAAGTGCCTCACTCCTGGGGCAACCCTTATGCAGAGTTTGTTCAGACAGGGCTCCCAGAGCTCATCGGGCCAGTCAGGCTGCAGCAGAGAAAGGAGTGAGATGTTAGAGAAACATCTATGCAGACACCAGGTCAGTGAAGATGGAGCGGGAGGAGGTGTGCCAGATATGAGATTCCCCTGCAGCCCGTGGTGAGACAGCAAGCGGCTCCCCTGCAGCCCATGAAAGTGAACGGTGGAGCAGAGATCCACCTGCAGCCATAGAGGACACCACGCCAGAGCAGGTGACTGTGCCTGAAGGAGTTTGTAGAGGTCTGTCTCCCGTGGGAAAGGATCCCGCGCTGTTGAAGATTAACAATGGAGCAGAGATGCATCTGCAGTGGAGGACCTCATGCTGGAGCAGGTGGCTGCACCCTGAGAAGCTGTGACTTCATAGGAAAAGCCCATGCTGGAGCAATCTGATGGGTAAGGATTGCATCCCATGGGAAGGATTCATGTTTGAGAAGTTTGTGGACAACTGTCTCTCGTGGGAAAGGATCCCATACTGAAGCAGGGGAAGAGTGTGAGGAGTCCTACCCTGCAGAGGAAGGAGTGGTAGAAACAATGTGTGATGAACTGACCACAACCCCCATTCCTTGTCCACCTGTGCTGCTTTGAGGAGGAGGGAAAAAGAGAGGGGAGTGGGAGGAAGGATTTTTTTTTTAAGATCTGGCTTTATTTTCCCATTATCCCCTCTCTGATGTGATTGGTAACAAATTAAATTTGTCTCCAAGTCGAGCCTATTTTGCCCGTGACTATAACTGGTGAGTGATCCTTCCTGTCCTTTTCTCAACCCTCGAGCTTTTTGTTATATTTCTCCTTTCCATCCCACTGGAGGGGAGGAGCGAGCGAACGGCTGCATGGTGCTTAAATGCTGGCTGGGCTGAACCATGACAGGCAAGAAGAAAATGTGAAATGTCTGAAGACAACTTCTAAACCCCAAGCTCTCTGACTAGTATGCTAGGCGAAGACAGAGAAGAACAAATCTCTCACTTTGTCAAAAGAAACTTCAACATTCTCCAACGTTAATTCATTGGGAGGCTAAATTACTGGTGGCTTTGAATCCAAATAAGTGTTTGACCAATGTTTTTCAGAGTTCTGAGCAGAGGCCATTAAAGGTGTGACAAATCTAAGGCATTTTACAAATGACTCTTTTTGACAGAAACATGATGTGGATTAATCAAGATCAAAAAAACCCAAGGCGAATGAGGTTTAGACTACTAATTTTTATTTTTTCCTTCTCATGAGGAAAACCAGAGACATGCACTTTTAAAATGTCAATCTGTAAGATCCCATTCTTCTGTCTTGTTGCATTTGAAAGGTTGACTTTGCTGTCTTCTACTGATAGTTTCATTTAACTGATGAAAGTAAAATTGTCATCTAATCAATCGATACTTATACAGACTTCAGAAGATGTAATTTAGCTAATTATAAAAAGTTTTAATATATAATTCTTTCAGCAAAATAAAATTTTCTTAGTACTTAGTAGGAAGAACAAGGGAATTATGGGTTGAAAAACCTGTGTTTTTTCCCCATTTTATCATGGAAACTGTATTCTCATTGAAAAGATAAAAGATCCTATTTTTTATACTTTTTGAGGATGAGCTCTCATGCAAGTACAGATCATAGCCTACGACACTGTTATCTAAACATTGTTTCCTTCCTGGAATGTCACTGCAAAAGCAAGACTCATTAACTACTTTCTGTGATAGCATAATAAATTGTGAGGAAGCTGAACTCAAGCTTGGAAAAGGTTTATATGTGCCTATGAATTCATATTTTCTTATTATTTTGGTATTTTATTTTCTAAACTCTTTAACGGACTGAAAAAAAACAAAAAGGCTTTAATATTTTTTGTATTAGACCTTATTCAATACTATGATGATGTTTTCACATTCATTACAAAGCAATTTATCATTTCTCAGCACACAGTGTGACAATATGCGATAATTCCAACAGCTTTCTCCCATTTCAGTTCCAGAGTAACTTGCATTTCTATATAACAGTGACTTAAGACTTATACCATACTTTCCACTCCCTTTTTAAAATTATTTTTCAAAATAGTTAGTGAAGCACAGCAAACAACATATTTTAATACCTTGCTACCTAAATTTCTGCAGCTCTATCTAATTCTCATCCAGTTATTGTGTTACGAAACCATGTTTAAATCAAGGATGTCAAGGAATATTGAATGTTTCAAAAGCCTTAATACCCCCTTGTGTATTTTGCAGACAATCCTGGGCTAGTGAGCCATGTTCCAGTTGGTGTTAGAATCCTGGATGTCAATGACAACCCTCCAGAGCTTTCCAGAGAGTATGATGTAGTCGTTTGTGAGAACGCTAAGCCTGGTCAGGTAACTATCAGGGTTATCCTTCTCCCAGTGAGAAAGAAAAATTCATTTGTTAATGCAACATATGTAAGAAGTTTGATTTGGGGAACATGTCATTCTTTCTGATTTCATTTTTGTATTTCACATTTGATTCAACTTTTTTAACTGTATTGGACTGAAGGGACAAGATTTGGGGATTTGTTCAATATGTCTGTCTTGTTGCTGAAAAAAAATATCCAATCTTCAGTAAAGACAGACAAAACTTTAATCTTGTCAGATAAGTGTTGGAATTTGACAAGTCACTATGCAGAACAAAATGGATGAAGCAGATTTAACATCTCTCATCTAAGTGCCACATGGTAGCAAGGTTTCGAATACAGCTCAATGAAATGGCTGGTTAACAAGACTGTTATCTTCACTTTTTGCATGTTGATTGCCGTTGTCTGTGCAGGGTCATTATGGAAAAGATGTTGAACGGGTTTTTCACAACTATGAGCACAGGGAGGGTCAGAACTGAGACTGAATGGCAGAGTCATATTCCAGCCGCTGCTCCTGTGATCTGTGCACTTCACTGCAGTCGATAGTTTGACAATTCTACCAAGCACCTCTGCTTTTTTGCATAGATTGAGCTTTTACCCAGCACTCTATGCTGGTTTTGTCTCATTACACAGGTTGTAAGTTGCAATTGTGACTCATATCTTTCCTGGGCAATATATTACTAGTAATAACAGTTTTCTCATCGAATCTTTAAAAGCAGTGTACATAAATTCATACTACATTGTGATATATTTCTATTTTTAACATTGAGACTATAAAAATTATATACTTCATCAGACTATAGACTGACTAATGTTATCTTGACTCAGAGTGGTCAAAACCTGACACCTAAAGAGCAGTATAAGAACATGGAAAGCATGTATAACACTTACCCCCGGTAATTCCCTAGTCTCAGATCATGTCCTGATCCAAGTGTGGTTTCTGTGTTTTAATAAACCTTTAATAACTGTCTCATATGAACCTGTCTAGATTTTTCTACAACAAACATAAACTTTTGATATCTGCTACCTCATGCAGCAAGGAACGTTACAGTTGAATTGTACGTTTCAGGAAGATCTACTGCTTTCTCTTCTTTCTTTTTTTTTTCCTTCCCAATCTTCTCATGCTGTCTTCGATTGATATTTACTAGTTCTTGTGTTGGGGAAAGGAGAGAGAGCGAGCGAGCGTGTGCAGGTGATCCCTATTTATTATCTCTGTGCCATTCATAAATCTCTATCACATTGGCCCTCAGCCATCTCTTGCCCAAACTGAAAAATTCTACTTAACTTGGACAGGCTGCGATAAAGTCCTTCTAGAATTTCCATCATTCATCTTGTCCTCCTCTAAACTTTCCCCAATTCCTCTCTATTCACTTTGAGATGGGGAATCAAGATTGAAGATGCAGGTGTGCAGGGTTTATAATTCTTATTATAGTTTATGCTTTGTAGTATATAATGATGTCTGCTTTGTTCTCTGTTTCCTAGCAATTTCTAGCAGTGGCTTTGTTTTTCAACCGCTAGTAAGCATTGAATGAAAAAAATCTACCTGCCATAACATCAACATCATTAGAAGCAATCTTCAGCTTAGAGATCATCACCATCTATGTGAAGTTAAGACTTTATGTCTCTGTGTAATTAATTACACCTGTCTTTGTATTGCCTAGCTACTGAATATTGGAAGGTATTTAAGTGTCAGCCCTTCCCCTTTTCTTTCTTGAACAACTTAGTATCATAAGTAGATTTGATGGGCTGATTATTTGTGCACTTTAAAAGACGTGTTATTACACTGACCAACAAGTTGCCCAACATAAATCTGCGTGGAAATGGAAAGCTCTGACTTCATTTCCTTGTGGAACAGATAATTTACAGAAGAGATCCTATTTCATGTCTTTTGAGCAATTATTTGTTCAAGGACCTTCCGTGTTATCTCATGACCGCATAATTTCTTCAGTGCTCTTATTAAGATACCTCATTCGAAGCCTTTGAAAATCTAAATCTGTCTATCAACTGAGTATCTCCCATTAACATGCTTAGAGAAGTAAAAATAATTTTCTGCAAACCTCAGATAAAGCCAGATATAGAATTAGAACTTGTAAAAGACTATTTTTTTTTTAAAAAAAGATAAAATCCCTTAAGCATTAATTGCAATTGCTTTCAACATATTCTGAAATTTTTTAAATTATATAATTTAACAATAATTGTTAAATAACTGTTATAATTAATAATAAGCTAAAACATGCAGTGAAGTTAGCTCAGAAATGCTCTGTTTGCCAGGAGTGGTGGTATTGGTGAGTAGCTAATGTTTCTTATTAGCAGGGTTTTAACTCTCCAATAATAGCTTTGCAAATGGAAATTTATGAAAGATGTTTAAAAAACAGAATAAATTTTACTATAACAGCATTTGGTCCTGATTGAGGTCAGCATTGTATTTCTCTCTGAGCTACTGTTACAAGCATGAATGACTCTTGACCTCTGTAGCATTGCAGTTTAATACTCAAAATTAGTGCTATCATGAAGGACTCTGCAAATAGTAGTTTAATATGAAAGGCTGGATCAGCACGCTATTGCATCCTTAAACTAACAGGACTCCATTGCATACATGACACACACTAATTTTTATTTGCATTTCACAACAAGGCTTCAGAAAAGATTGTGATATTGCACTGTATGAAAAAAAAACCCACAAAACAAAAGTACATGGCTCTTATTCAGAAGATCTTACTGTCTACTTTAAGAAAGAAAATGACAGTGTTCAACAAATATTAAGGAGAGACAAATAAACAAGAATTACAGAACAAGACAAATGTTCCATACGCTAAAAAACATGCCCAGCTGGATGGTTTTGAATCACTGAAAAGGCAATATTTACTCTGAGTTATCCATCATCTTGTGAGAATGATTCATAAGATTTGCCACTAAAGAACAAATTCTGTCATGTACTGTCAGGCACTTCTGCTTGACTAGCACTTTGAGGTTTGGCTCCAGCCCTGCACTACCCTCTAACAATCCTTATTTCTTTGCTCAGTACATCTGTTTCGAATTTATGATGTACAAGATAAGCCAACCAATAGTTTGTCATTGGAAGACTTTTTGTGTTCGCTTGTTTATTTTCAGAAGAGGCTTCTATGGAGACAACTCACAGTATCACTTAATTGCACAGCCTCTGCGTCCCACTTCTTTTTCTCTCCACAACTTAATTTATTTGGCTTATTAAAAAAAAAAAAAAAAGCCAATAAAGCTTAAGGTCTCAAGTGCTTAAATGAACCTCCCTATGGCATTCCAAACAGAAAATGCGTGTGAGAAGGTGATCATATCCACACTGAAGTGACAGCTTTCCTCCTTTAGCAGTCACCTTGTTGAGAAGATAAACTAAGTATCTCCAACAGCTTCCAGGTGAAGCCTGGTAGATGTTATGTGTTAAAATAAATAAAGCAGCTGTGATTTGATCTTAGATGGTATCCAGACTTCGAAAACTCTGGCTTCTAGAAATATACTGATTTTGTAAATGGTTGTGAAATCTAGTCAATGTAGGAAAACAAAATTTTTCAGTTTCCCACAAATGAATTTTCTCTTTTCTTCAAATGTGAATTGTTTTGTTATTTTTAAGGTAATGGGAGCAAATAGTGACTTAAAAAAAAAAAAAAAAGTTTAAATCCTTTGTTCTGGAAAGTGAAGGAGTAAAGTGTTGACAGTTTTCAGAATGTTTCCAAGTTCAGTGTTTGTCCTGGCAGAGTATGAAGCTATTAAAATGTCTGACTAAATCATAGTATCATAGAATCATAGAATGATTTGGGTTGGAAGGGACCTCATAGATTATCTAGTTCCAAACCCCCTTCCATGGGCAGGGACACCTTGCACTAGATCAGATTGCTCAAAGCTTCATCCAACCTGGCCTTGAACACTTCCAGGGACAGGGCATCCACAACTTCTCTGGGCAACCTGTTCTAGTGCCTCACCACCTTCTGAGTGAGGAATTTCTTCCTTTTATCTAATCTAAATCTGCCCTCTTTCAGTTTAAATCCGTTGCCCCTTGTCCTATCACTACACGCCCTTGTAAAAAGTCCCTCTCCAGCTTTCCTGTAGGTCCCCTTTAAGTACTGGAAGGATGCAAGTTATATGCGTTAAATCTGCTAGTCATATTCGTTATAGCTCTCCAAAGATAACAATTTTTTGTGTACTTTTCAGAGGAATAGTAGAAGAAGTTGCAATAGTAACGAAATGCCATTTCCCTGACACTATCGATCAATGTAAATCAACACGCAGGGATGTGTGTGTGCGCATGCACACACACACAGAGGATTTTTTCAGAATCATGATGGATAAATATTGTGCTGCCAACGTGAGCTACCTCACCTTGGATGCTGTTATTTCTAATAGCCAAAGGAAATCAATGTTAGCTGGCAAAGAACACCTCTGCTATAAGTTTGTTGTGAATATATTTACTTGTTTATTGATTCAGTTCTGAAAAGGATCTGAGTAGAATTTACCACATGCTCTCTATCCTCTTCAGTTAGCTCTCCTCCGTTCTTGAAATCCTTTCTTTTCTCACCAACTCTTGCCTTTAAAAAAAATAGCATAACCCCTCAGTTTCATCTCTTCAATGCTGTAAAATGAGCAGCAGCACCAGCTGGTTCTGTGTCTACATTTTTATTTTAATCAGCTTTGGTAAAGAGCATGTTAATGTCTGCTAATAGACCATTAATTAGTTGGCCTATTAATTAGAAAAAGGTTAATAGGACATCTGAGTGTCAAGAGGACACACACTTTTGTTCCTCACCTCTGAATGAATGTCTTAGAAATGTTTTCCTTAGAAAGCAAGAGCCT